CAGTCTACTCAGGGGCACATAGAATAAAAACTCTATGTTTAAGGTTTTAATTTACATTCATAGCACTAGACAAAACAGATCTGTGGAGATGACAGACAAAACAATCAAAAGTGCTTAGCCTAAAAATGAGAATAATATCACTTAAAGGTAGACTGTTGGAATACAGTGAAGCACTTCAGTGTTACGTTAGAACATTGTCTATTTTTAACACATTAAGCAAGATAACTTATTTCTCTTAGGTAATTTCAGATGCAGTCAGTATCTTTTACAAGGCGATGGACACAAAAGCCCTACTTGTACAAGGAGGATTTGACCATGTTGTAATATACTATCTAGAATGCAATTGGACTCCTTGGAAGAAATACCAGATGACATACAAAGTGAAATAAAACTCATATTTTTCAATAACTTCAGATATATTAAACATTTTCAATCAAATACAATGACCTCAAGTTGCTAACCATTGATTGCTTCCAATACCCACTATTAAAATTAGTGTTTTGCCCCTGCTATGTCATTTCTCCTTATAAGTGGTTTAAATTACTGTAATTTTTTATTATTCTTAGCTTGTGATAATAGTGCCTGTTTATGAAATGGAACATAATTTACAAACCAATTTCTTAGATTCTCCTTTGAGCCTGACACGAACCCCATGGGGCACACAGGGTTTATACACTCCAAATGAGAAGAAGCCACCAAGATATTTAATGACATACTCATGGTCCCCAAATTGTTCTTTTTGGCCACTTTCCTTCCTATAAATACTAAGCTTCCTCTCAAAGAGCATTTGGAAAAATAACCTGGAGAATAAAAAAGTAACTATAAGAATATGTTAATACTTTACTAAGGACAGACACCATTTTGATGTTCCAGCAGACATATGGACAAGAGCCATTGATTAAATAAGGAATCCATTAGGTTAAAGACAGACATGCTTGCTTCTACAAAATTTGCTAATGATGCTTAAAGACTAAATCAGCTGAGGGATATTAGCCATGATTTCCATGACCTGTTGGAAAGAAAAGGAACTGGGAAACAAATTCAAATGACTCAATCCAAAGATGATTCCTTTGTATATTTTTTTCTTCAAAAGCTGACACCCTTTTAAATAACCCCACTATTTTGTTGCTAATGTTTTTTGCTTGTTTTTTGTTCTCTGTATATATGAAGCTAGAAAATATCTCAACCACACACTGTTGGTAAAAGGAGATCTGCTGAGAAGCATCTTTGTGATTCTACTCCTTGAAAAATTAGTCAAAGTGCAATTTATGAGAAAATTAAATTCAGATAAAGCAAACAAAATGTTTCAAAGTCTTCCACATTTTGCTGACACTAATGAAATATTTGGTGTTTAAATGCTTTTATTAGCTTAGTTCTAAGGGTATAAACTTCCACTTGATAGATAAAAATGATGGATAAAAATTAGCCTTGGATCTAGTTACAAAAACTCTTCTTGTTACTAATTCTTTTTCGTTTTCTACTTAAAAATCAACCTTAAAATACATGGTCTTCTCTGTGTTCTGCAATATTTAAGAACACTATTCAGACTACGTTGAACTCTAACCTCTCTTTATAGTTCTTCCTTAATAATGTCATCATGATTGGGTCTCCACCCAAGAATTCTAAGGCAATAAATTCCTAAAATTCCCTAGATTTCTAACAATGATTTTTATCAGTCCTACTTTATGAGACAAATATCTTCATGGGTTTATAAAGCATTGAAACAACAGTCATCTCAGAGAATACTCTATTTCTACTTGCCATGTTTAAGATCTCAGCACTCTCCCCAGAAATAAGTTTATATTAATATTGGTCAAAGAGCAAGAAGAAAATACAGTTTTTGGTGAATTTTCATACAGCTTTTGCAAATATAGACAGCATCTTGGCATCTTTAAAGATAAAATATTCATATACACTAGCCTTTTTTTGATGCTTTAGAGCTTGGTGGTACAGGGTGAAAACCTTTTCCATCCCTTTGGCTAACATCAGCTCTCAGATCTCTCTTTCAAAGAGTTAAGCATCTTAGGAAACCAAAAACTTCAGTATTATCTCTTTACAGTTTAAGTTTGAGATTATAACTCCAAGATTCTTTATGGATGAGAATTTTCCCTCAGTGTTTTAGTATGGTACACACTGAGGAAAGCATATGCACCCTTTCTTAAAGTGAATAGAGATACAGAACAGTGAATAATTTTGTGTCATGGACACTGGTTCCAGGTTTCCACTATACCTAGTTATTCACTATTACACATATTGCTTCTCTTTCTAGCTGATGAGTGTATATATGAGCTTCATTAGATTTATTGATTTCCAGTCGATTCAATTTATAGTTTATAGCATATTTTGGCTGTTGTTAATCTATTGTTTAATATAGCCACGTACTTCTCTATGGTCAAGCTTCTCTTTCTTACAAAGGAGATAAGAAAGGTCTGATTAAAACTCTTGCCCAGTTGATTTTACCTGTACAGGTTGGCAGAGAATAACGTATGCTAGAAGCATAACAAAGACACCCACTAATACATAGAATGGACCATCTGGTGAAAAACAACAGATGAAATATTTACTTTAGAAAATGCTGGTTTTGAATTTTTTGCAATGTATACCTGATACTATGGAAATGATAGCAAATCAACTCAAGTGGTAACTTGCAAGAATTCTAAAACTTGTGTTGAGACCCACAAGCTCAATTCTTAGCATTTTGCATTTTCTCTGCCAATTCATGACTTGCGACCCTCCTCATACCAAGACAAACATGTTTTCTCAGCTATTTTTTGATACATTTTTCAAAGGGCTTTTCTTTTTTTGTATCAAAAGGTAACCTTGTACCTACTCACAGTTGAGTCTCAAGCAATGCCCACTCCCACTCTGTGAGAAGCTTGGGGCGCCTGGGTGGCTCAGTCGGTTAAGCGACCGCCTTCAGCTCAGGTCATGATCCTGGGGTCCTGGGATCGAGCCCCACATCGGGCTCCCTGCTCGGCGGGAGGCCTGCTTCCCCCTCTCCCGCTCCCCCTGCTTATGTTCCTGCTCTCGCTGTGTGTGTGTCTCTCGCTCTGTCAATTAAATAAATAGAATCTTTAAAAAAAAGAAAGAGAGAGAGATGCTTAGGAAACCAGGAGACGGTGGTAATCACCTAATAACATCCTGTCCCCTTGCTGAAGATATCAGAATGCCTTTAGCTGCATTAGTGTCTCGGCGAGGGCTTCCTCAAAGATGATATAATAGGAAATGAGCTATGTGGTTAGAGACAAATTTGGTCATAGAAGTATTTGAGGCACTGTTAGAGCAATGTAAACATCAAACTAGTGTAAGCACTCCAGAAATGATTTCTATATCGCAAAGGAATTTCATGCACATTTTAAATATTTCCCCCAAATACAATATGGTTTACCAAAGCATTTGGGAGGTAACAAGTAACAGGATACATCTTGGCTAAAATACATGCTGTTTTGGGTTAAAGGAGGTATGCAATTCTTTAAAGCAGTCTGTATACTTCATGTTCCCAAATCAATTTGAGATTGTAAAATGAATTATATAATAATTAATTCTGAAATAATAAGTGAAGGAATTTCCAGGAACGGTGACATAGAATTTAGGATCAGATGTCAAACTTGACAGAGAAAATATTTTCTTAGATCAAGTATTTATTTATAAGTAGAATACTGTTTTAAATTAGTTTTCTTGTCTTCTTTAAATTTCATTCCTCTTGAGATTGTTGCCCAATAATTGTTATTTTTATAGGCAGAGTTCTATAATTATAGGCATCACCCTCTGCTTCATGCTACAGCTATCAAATAATGATCTTAAAATAGACCCTGAAATAAATGCTCGTTGAATAACTAGCAATGACAAAATCTTGGCAAAAGTCAGTCAATCATATAACTGGAAAAAGAGTAGAAACAAAAAAACCCAAATCCAAAACAGAATACCTTTAGGATTTCCTAAAGGCTAAACATTCTGTAGCATGGGAATGCCAGAGACATCACAATTTGAATCCAAAGGAGAGTTGGTAAAATAACCATAGAAGTTTACCAAATTTTGCCACAGCAATGATTATATTGTTTCTGCTCACTTTTCTTTCAGTCAAAACATCTTAGGTGTTAGCTAATAGATTTCTATCTTCATGGCTCAGGCACTGAAGTCATGAAGCACATCGTAGAGAAAAACAGCAGTGGAGGGAATACCCAAGCATGATGGATCCTAGAGGCTGGCATTATGCTTCCGAAGTCAGAGGAACCAAGCAGTTCACACTGAGAATTTTGCAAGAACATTTTAGACAATCCCTTGGATCTGTGTTCCTAATATGGATTCTATACCAGACGTAGACTGTAGAGAGAGGTTTGGGGGGATGGATAGGGGGGCTGAGATTTAGGGTTTCTAATGTTCATAATTTAAAAATATGCCTAGAGTATGGAAGAATGAAGTTTAATTGGCAAAATTTTATAGGAAGAACCATCTTATCATGATAAAAAGAGAAAACTTGAAGCATGATGCCTTTGTTAATGATAAAACTGAAATATTTAAATAATAGTTTAATAGGAATTGCTTATGCTTATCAAAAACTAAGATAAAAAATGTAACATCACTTTAGACAAAATAATAAGAATAAGCGAATAGAAAATCCTTTTGTAATGATTTTTAAAAAGAAAAGGCAGTTTTATATGAAAAAATAGTGATTAACCAAATTTTTAGAGAGAAAAGACACAGCTCCACTCCTGCCCTATCCCCAAATATAGTTCAAATGTGGGTATTCTGCCTTAGGCAAATGAAAACAAATGTGAAATACACTGTAATATGGCATGAGGTATCATCAAATTTTATGTGATGAGTGACATGAAAACTCAAGAGTGACCATAAAATCAATCCATCATCCTGAAGTTGATCTACAAAGTGACACACCTGTATTTCTGCAATTGATTCAAAGTCAGGGGTGGGTATGGAGGGTAGAAGTGTCATTTAGTTTCCAGTGTTTTTGTAAATTAAAAAGAAACCCACAATTATTCATAACTTTTTGTTTTCATATCACTGACATATTTTATCTAAAAACAATTAAGCTAAACAGTTTTTCTTGACTGCATTTTTAAAGACATAGTTAATAAATGACAATCTTTAATTTCTCCTTGTGACCATTTACTAAGAAAATGAAATGTGAAACTGAACACTGAACTGATTTCCAAAATTTTGTTTGGAAAGGGAAACCTCTGGAGACTCTCTTAATCCCAACTGATAATGTCAACTTCTAACTGGTTCAAGTGAAATTTGACTAAATGATTCTTCCAGACATCTGTAACAGACACATTTAATTTCAATTGTCCAAATGCCATATTTTCATACTTTCATTTTTCTCCTAGGGCATTTCTCTTGTACTTTGTTGTTTACAGTCCGGTTCTTGTCTATCTGCCATTTATTAAGAATATAAAAATGACATTAATATACAATCTCCCCCATTTTAACAGAAGTCTGACTCACAATCTCATAACCTTACCAGTACTTGAGTCACCCTAGGACAGCTTATTGGGTGTACATAGTAATGTCATTACTAATGATCCATTTAGAAGTCTTTATTGTATCCTCAATTTTAGCTAATATGTTCTCCCAATGCAAAACTAAAAGTACAAATCAAACTCTATATAAGAAGTAAATCCAATCTTTAATAAAAAAATTGTCTTTCTATATTCTCCCTTTAGTGGCCTATCCCTTTTCCCCATGTGACATGGTCATTTTTGTTCTGATTTAAAACTCACTGATATCATCTTGAATACTTTCTTATATACTCATGTTCTTCATAAAAAACAACAACAACAACAACAACAACAAATTGAGCATCCATGACCATGAGATCACATTAGGAAATCTCTGATCTTGTTTGGAGGGCGCCTCAGAGACAACTGGTCAATTCTTTTGAACACTGTTGATATTCTGGTCTCTCAAAATAGATTTTTCTGGAAGAAAAAGAAAAACATGCCATTATGCATGGTCTACTCACAACAATTTTGTGGTTTGTCGCTGTTTTTTGGAAGTAATATTTGGGTGGGGTTTTTGATGATCAGTTCCTACGTAGGGTCTAGCAACCGCATTTCTTCTCTGCTGGTTTTTCCCCATCTAGCTTTCCAGAGTCTCCACCATTGACAGTGTCGGGGGCCTGTGTCTTCTCTACACACTGTTCCATTCGCTTCATGATTAAGTCCAGGAGGGTTTCCACAGCTTTCTCCACATTCTGGCCAGTCGCGGCACTCGTTTCAAAATATGGTATGCTTGCATCAAAGAGAGGACACACATTTTTGAGAGGAAGAAATCAGAAAAGACACAACAAGATGTACAAATGAGTAACACAGGCAAAAACATGGCTGGCTGAGAGGTGGTGAAATAATCACAGTTTTGCCCACTGAGTTGGAAAGCATCTTGTTTTTTCACAGTGAGTAAAAATTGATGGGCTGCTTTCTCGTATGAGTGTAACCGATTTTATGGACAGGGAAACGGATACAGGAGGTACTTAGGAATTTGAAGCTAAGGCACTATCATCATTTCACACACAAAAAATTAAGAGGGTAGAAATACCTAAACTAGTGATCAATCTTACCATTAAAATATCACTTCCCTTCTAATCAATTATCTGGAAATTCGACTTAGAAATTAAGCAGGCACTGAATAGGAGATACATGTAAATAAATAGTCTATATATGGAATCAAAAGTTACACATTTTTAAAGCTCTCAAGGAAAAGTCTTCCATAAGAAATTGGCAGGTATGATGAAACTGCTTTAAATTTAAAGTCTGTGTTGGAAGTCAACTTATCATTGTAGGGGGGTATTTAATTTTTTTTTTTTTTTTTTTTTTAATCTGCCACTTAGGCTCAGCTAGGATGAGGATTGCAGTATCATGTCCTGGTCAGGTGTTACTTCTTAGAGTTTTACAGCTCATAGTGGAAAGGCAGTAAACTATCATGTTGAAGATCATGAGCTCTGATCTCAGACTGCCTGGGTTGAATTCAAGCTCTGCTACTTACCAGCCAAATGGCCTCCCATCAGTTACTTAATCCTTCTATGCCTCAACTCTTCATATATAAAATGGGATGACTCTAGATCCCCTATGTATGATTATGAGGGGCTAAATGAGTTCAAGTCTAAGGAAAGTTGTCAGCACATAAGTACTCAGCAAACATTAGCTGCTATTACTAGTAAGGACTTGATTTAAAAGATCACATACATTCCCCTGGAAGATCTTTTTCATTCATGGGCCATTACTGATTCAAGGGGATTCCTCCCAGTACCAACCTCATGTTCCTGCTCCATTACTAAGCAGCAGTGTGCAAGGTCAGATGACATCTCCCTGTCAATGACTTACCCGTATTTGTCAGCCAGGTCCCGGGCTTGCCTTTCATTGACTTCCCTCTGGTCTGGCAGGTCTGCCTTGTTGCCAATTAATACTATATCTGGATTTTCACAATAAGCATTTGCTTGCAGTTGGCCTTAGGAAGAAAGCAGATGGACCCAGCACGTTAGTTATAAACAAGTAATGTCAAATGACTGCTCATACTTTGAGTTCCTTTTCTTTTTTTCATACTTCAAATTCCTAGTTTAATTGTTCACCTCCAGCTTGGCTGCTCGCTAGTTATATCATATTAGCCAAGTTACTTCACTTTACGCAACTGCAGCTTCCTCATCTATAAAATGAATGAAGATGATGCCTCAAAAATTGCAGATTGTGAATATAAATAATGATTGATATGAAGCACCTAGACGATCACCTTTCAGTGCTCTTGAATACCTGGGGACATGTCCTCCAAGATGGACATACTGCTTCAGACTATTTGTTCCTCAAATATAAGTAGAGATAATAGAACAGGAATTTTAAGTGTGTAAGTTTGCTCTTTCCTTTAAGAGGCTGCTACATTTTTTTTTTAAGTGGGTGCCACACCCAACATGGAGCCCAATGCAGGGCTTGAACTCATGAACCTGAGATCAAGACCTGAGCTAAGATCAAGGGTCAGATCTTAACTGACTGAGCCAACCAGGTGCCCCACAGCGGCTACATTTCTATCTCCTGAAGTCCAAGGTGAAGACCTATTAGAATAGAATGTTTCCGAACCACCACAAATTTATGCAGAAACAATTTTAAGACAGGTCATTGTTTTTCTTTTTCTCCAGGATACGCTGTGCAAAAGAGAGAAGAAAGAGGGAGAGAAGGTGGGAGGGACGGAAGGAAAGAAGGAAGGATGAAGAAGGGTTGGGGAGGGAGGGAGGGAACAAGGAAGGAAGGAAGGAAAGGAAGGAAATGAGACGAAATCTGTCAACCCACGTTTTTGAAGTTACGGGGATTACTTTAATTTCTATTTCAAGGCATGCTGTATGCAACTTTGCTGAGGAGGAAGATCAGGCTTACCCTTTAACACTGATTATTTGGGTGTTAAAAATTGAAGTGTTATGAGACATGCCAATGAATTATCTTAAATCCCAATAGTATTCTTCTGGATCTTTTTTTAAATAAGGAAGAATTTTATCTGCTTTGAAAAAGGATGAACAAATCATTCTCTGAAAGAATCTAATAATCTTATTATCTCTTTATCTCCTCAGAATCTAATAATACCCCCAAAATTTAGAGAAAGAAATACAATACTAAAAGGAAATAGAGACAAATCCTAGGATAAACACTCAGTTGGAGAAGCAATGAAGGAAGTCAGAATTTGTTGGTATCTGTCCCCATGGTAGCAACTGTATTATTGAACTCACTTTTAAAGCAGTTATATGTATTAATTATAAATATATAATAATAAGAAATACATATTTTTTGAGTATCTATTCTGTGCCAGACACTAATCCCAGCTTTGGGCTATTGCGATGGAACAAAGCCAGCAAAGTCTGTACTTTCATAGAGCTCACATTCTAGTGGCAGAGAGTCAAAAGGACAAGTAAGCAAAGAAATACGTAATATGTCAGGTGGTGGCAGTGATAAAAGGGAATATAAAGTGTACTGAGGAGCTACAAAGTAGTGAAGCATACTAGTTTATTTTTTAAAGATTTTATTTATTTCAGAGAAAGTGTGCATGCACGCACGCACAAACAGTGGGGAGGGGCAAAGGGAGAGGGAGAAGCGGACTCCCCACTGAGCCTGATGTGGGACTCGATCCCACGACCTGGGATCATGACCTGAGCGGAAGGCAGATGCTTAACGGACGGAGCCAGCCAGGCGCCCTGAAGCATACTAGTTTAGACAGGTGGTCAGGGAAGGCTTCTTCCAAGAGAGAAAGTTTGAACAAACCCTTGAAGGAAGTGAGAGAACTGTCACACTCCATAAATGGGAGAAGAGAGATCGAGGCAGAGAAAATCAGAATGTACAAAAGCCACAAAGTAGGGAATGTGCCTTTTGTCCTGGGAACAGCAGGAGAGACGTTTGGCAGGAGGCCAGCGAGCTGGGACAGATTAAGAGTAAATTACACAGGAATCTAAGGCCTTATCACCAAGGCCTTACAGGTGAGTGGAGGATTCTGGATTTTATTCCAAGTGAGTTGGGAGGTCCCAGAGGGACTTTGAGCAGGGGAATAACGTGATCCAGTGTTGTTTTTTTTTTAAAGATTTATTTATTTATTTGAGGGAGAGAGAGAAAGAGCAGGGGGGAGGGGCAGAAGGAGAGAGAATCTTAAGCAGACTCCCCACTGAGCGAGGAGCCTGACTCGGGGTTCAATCCCATGACCCCGAGATTATGACCTGAACTGAAATCAAGAGTCGGATGTCCAACCGACTGAGCCACCCCGGTGCCCCAGTACAATCCGATTTTTAAAAAAATCCCCCTGGCCACGGACAGCCCCAACAAATCTAGAAATGACAAGCCTATCACCAGTCCATAGGACTGCTTGTATATCCCGTTAGGATCAAAATTTTTTATTATAATAAAAATGCAAATAAAGTATTCCCTTTAGTGCTACATCAATTTTTAGAAAACGAAAATCAAACACTACTTTCCTATGCTGACATAGATCAATCTGTCTTCAATAACTGATTAGGCTACTGTTAACTTATGTCTAAATTGTACAGATTTTTCATTTTAAGTCTTCCTTACATTTGAACATTTTTTTCCAAAAAAGTAAAATTTCAATGTGAGCTGATTGACACACTGTACCTTATCTTCATGTGGCTGGTCTGCTCTGGAGCAGTTTCTCACCAAATTAACCATCCGTTAATTCATCTATTAGTTAACCAGTATGCAAGGGCATACATTTTTAGGGGCCAGTGTACCCTCTCAGAAAACACTGTTGCTTTTCTCTCTCTCCTTTCCAGATTAAATGTGGTAGCTCACATATTTGTAAGAAGTCCTTTAAGACTTACTGGATAAATGGAATTAATAGCCTTTCAACTGTGATAATAAAGACCTTGAATATTATATATTATTATATATATAGGCTGTGAGAGCTATGCAGGCTTCTCCTAAGAGTGCCAAAGGAAGGTATGATCCCAAGCCACCTTCGGTGAGTCACCTATAGTCCATCACTTTGAAGGTGACACAGGAAATGCTAAACTCATGGATTCCCAAGGTTAATCTGGGGAACCCAATCTGGTTTCATGTTGGGAGGCAAAGAAGCAAATAGTGCTGTTGGGGCCCAAAGTGGCCAATGCAAGTGACTTGGTCCCACTTACTCATCCAGTTTCTGACATTTAAGAAGCTCTGTTGACTGGTGAGGTCAAACATTAATAAGAAACCCATGGCATCTCTGAAAAATGCAGTGGTGAGGCTCCGGAATCTGCCAAGAAAGCACAGTGGACAGTTCTGGAAGTTAGCCCATAAACATATGATGATAGTACACACAACACCATTTCCCTTTGAAATGTGAAATCCCCATGGCATCCCTTATGGATTCTCCTATAGAATAAGAGAGTGGGCAAAAAGATTGCTGAAAGATCATGGAAGGGCATCTGGTTGTAGACATTTCTTAGGACCACATCCTGGCTTTATGGCCTATAGCACTTATGCACACAGAGTTTGTAACATTCAATCACATGATGGCTTACACAGCCCCTTGGACTCTTTCTCTTGTTGGCTCACAGATATCTTGTGGTCCACAATCATGATGGAAGCCACTTTCAAATGGGGACTTTAACTTATATTTTTCAATCTCCCTTGTCTGTGCCTAGAAGAAAGCTTGGCATTTAGTAGCCTAAAAATGAATGCCCGTGATTACGTGCAGAAAACCACAACTTGTTAGCAACTGAAACTGGGGTTCTTTTGCAGGGAAAAAACAACATTGATGAGAAGACTCTTTTATAAGCACTGTGGGGGTAAAGCTGAATTTTAGTCTGGTATCCATGTCTCACGAGGAAGAGGGAAAAACACTGAAGAAAGGAGGAAGAAGAAGATGCTTAGGGGAAGCAAGACAAAGTCAGAGAGATGTAGTGTTGGAGACAGAAAGCAAGAACGCTCATCTCTACTGGAGGATTTTGAAGAATATACTCTGTCATTTGTTGCGTGAAGACTTCTCTCCTCTGCTCCAACCTCTTCCCCCCTGAACTCTTCAGTAAAATTGAAGGTGTGCTGAGATCCACTTCAATGGCAGGAATGGGCAAAACCAGACACCACACAGAGGGACCAGAGAAAGGTTTGGGTTATACTGATACAGAAGTGAATTTGGAAATGGGTTTTTAGAAATGTACATAACTTTGAAATACAGACTATCACTTCCTATCCTAAATGTCCTCCTAATTTTTGGTCTCCTATTTTAGCTTATTTGTGGATTCTTTAGTTTCCTTGGAGTTCTATTTTCAACCCCTTCCCACCACACATACATTCACTGAGTGAGTAAGCTCATCTACTTCCCTGGGCTCAATTGTCACCTACATGTTGAAACCCAAATGAATAGGTGTAGATTTATCCTGTCATTCACACTGTGTGCCCAATTACATGTTGTGTGTTTCTGGTTGGAGGAAACTGAAGCACCTTTAACTTCACGGGACTAAACCCAACCTGGCCCCTCCTCCTGATCTCTTCTTCTATCAATGCATCACCGTCTTTGGAGTAACCACGGCTTCTTTCTCCTTCACCTACTGTATACAATCACCAAGCATCTCCTGACCTTGTCATTTCTGTCCATCCACTCTAGTTTTTTTTTTTTAGAACAAAGCTTTTTTTTTTTAAAGATTTTATTTATTTATTTAATTGACAGAGAGAGAGAGACAGCGAGAGAGGGAACACAAGCAGAGGGAGGGTCAGAGGGAGAAGCAGACTTCCCACTGAGCAGGGAGCCCGATGCAGGGCTCGATCCCAGGACCCTGAGATCATGACCTGAGCTGAAGGCAGTCGCTTAACCAACTGAGCCACCCAGGCACCCCCATCTACTCTAGTTTTGAGCCTATCCTCTTTCATCTGAATATTTTCAACCATCTTCTTAACACATTTCTTGTCTCCAGTTTTGTTTGGGACCCTCCCCTTCACTGATCCCTTCCTGCTGACTATATAAATCCTCTGCTACAAACATCTAAATGATGCTCTTAAGATAATGACTGAACTCTCTAATACGCTGTCAGGCTCTGTGTGAATTGACCCTTGCTCTTCTATCCGGCTTCATCTCCTGACTGCCCATAGGCATGCTGATCTTCTTTTAGTTCTTAGAAAGTTCACTCTCCCCCTAAGCTCTCACACACGCTGTTCTTTCTGTGGGTAACCTGGCCTTAATGCTTCCTCTACCTCCTACCTCTTTAGCCTGGATAAGACTCACTCACTCATACACTGTGTATGACTATATGTTATATATATATAACAGTCTCAGAGGAAATAGCACTTTCCCAAGCTGCCTTCCTAATACCCACATCTGGGTTATAGGCTCCTCCTGGTGCACCTGCCCATCACCTGTTGTTTTCCTGACACTGTCCTAAGGCTGTATTGCAATTGTTCGTTATCTGTTCAAATTCTATCCTAGACTTGTGAGCTCCAACAAGAAAGGAGTTATGTTTCTAATTTGCTATCCATTATATTTTCATGGCCTTGAACATATTTGCTCACAAAATGTCAAATTAAGAGAAAGAAAAAAAGAGAAAGAGAATAGCAAAGGATATTCAAGTATTAAAGATGTCAATGACTTCAGTAGAGAACAATTCTTTTTTTTTAAAGATTTTATTTATTTATTTGAGAGAGAGAATGAGAGAGAGAGAGAGAGCATGAGAGGGGGGAGGGTCAGAGGGAGCAGACTCCCCGCTGAGCAGGGAGCCCGATGCGGGACTCGATCCCGGGACTCCAGGATCATGACCTGAGCCGAAGGCAGTCGCTTAACCAACTGAGCCACCCAGGCGCCCGAGAACAATTCTTTTAATACCAAAGCAAAGAGAATAGATATTTTAATGACTATTTCCAAATCAGATTTTTTGGTAAGGCGTTAATCATGATAATTATGAAATACCAAAAATTTTACTCAATTTTTTCTTGTGGAATTGTTCCTACCAGTTGCTGGAAGCTCACCAAGATGCTTTTACCGAAGTTTTCTTTCTGTTTGGGGACTAGCTGTATTCACAAAATTGTCTCCTACTCAACTACAATAGTGTGGCTAAGACAACTGCTCTCTGTTCTCTCCCAAAAAGAGAGAGAGGGGGAGAAAAAGAGAGTGCGTGACTGTGTGTGTTTCATTTAAGGACAAGACTGTGCCATGTCCCCCTCTCATTGCCCATAGCACAATGACAAAGTGATTTTTTTTTTATGTTAATGGTCTTTTTATTGGGAAAAAAAGGCTAGCATTTACAACTTGAAGTGGATGCAAATTCTAATTTCTCGAACAGCAATGCTGATGGTTGTGCTAAAATCCACAGTCACAGCTTACTCTGCTGGCTCCAAGTCATGGCTCAGAAGGTTTTAAAAACAGAGTCCAAAGATGCTCCCTTGGTAAAGGTTTCATTTTTTTTTTAATTCATTTTTTTAAGATATTTTTTATTTATTTATTTGACAGAGAGACAGAGAGCACAAGTAGGCAGAGCGGCAGGCAGAGGGAGAGGGAGAAGCAGGCTCTCTGCTGAGCAGGGAGCCCAATGCGGGGCTCGATCCCAGGACCCTGGGGTCATGACCTGAGCTGAAGGCAGCCGCTTAACGGACTGAGCCACCCAGGCGCCCCTAAAGGTTTCATTTTTAAAAAATTTGTGTTAATGGTGATGGCCTGACACCCATTTCACCGCAGTACACTGCAGACAATGCTAAATCAACACACGCAGCATGGGATGAGTGTCATTGTCACCATGGGGGGGAGGGGTACACGGAAGTACACAAGGGCCATCCTGCTTAGTGGGGCTATGTTACTTTTATTTTTTTATTTATTTTTTTGTTAAAGATTTTATTTATTCATTTGAGAGACAGAGAGAGAATGAGAGACAGAGAGCATGAGAGGGAGGAGGGTCAGAGGGAGAAGCAGACTCCCCGCTGAGCAGGGAGCCCGATGTGGGGCTCGATCCCGGGACTCCAGGATCATGACCTGAGCCGAAGGCAGTCGCCCAACCGACTGAGCCACCCAGGCGCCCCGCTACGTTACTTTTAAAACATGCCTCTTGTGTAGATTTCACTGGGGTAAACATTTTTGCATCTACAGCAACGTGGATAGGACATTCTTGTTCTAGAACAGGCTCACAACCTAGACCATTCTGCCCAGCACCCTTGTTATCCCCTTCCTTCCGAAGGTGACTCCAGGGGAAAGGTAAATGATTTCCAGCTTATTCACCAATCTCATTCTGTCCTGTGAGTCAGTAGGGTGGGGAAAGCTGGGACCACATTGGGAAAAAAAAAAAAAAAACAAAAAAACAGATCCCAGAGTCACATTATTACCTTCTCCCTCACTGGGAACTAAGGCTGTGTCCTGTATCCTTGAGGTTTACATAAGGGGTATGATTTTTCCTTGTTCCATGATACCACTTTTATCAATAAGCATAATCTTATACGGGTTATACTGCCAGATGTTTTTAGGCACAGGGCTGAGGTGTGAGACACTGTTTATCTTGTTGCATAGTTACACCTTAGTTTATAGAGAATGCAAAATTCTCAAGGGATGAATCACCTTCATGTTACTAAGACTGTCCCTAGTTTTCCTCACTCCCTCAGAGAGCAGCCGTCTTAGGGGGGCAGAGGAGAGAAGCCTACCATCATGCAAGGCTGACATATCATGTGTGAGGACATATGGGAACCACATTTTCTCATATTACTTTTTCAAAAATGAATTAAATTGGTCTATAAAACATACATCTTTGTGACAACAAAACTGACATATGAACAGAAATTCTTGTGAGGAATGACTTCAGAAGAACTAGCAGTGTTGAAGAATGTGTGTAAATGGAATTCACAGTCAAAAGAGCTAACGGAGAGGGCCCAGCACCTCTCCTGGCGTTTACACTCACTGAAAGCGAGAACACTTTGGACGCATTTCAAAAACTAAAGTGTTTACAAGCATAAACATTCTAAGACATGTGATGCAGAATTTGGAGGTATGTGCCTTCTAAACATCTTCTCTGACAATCTACTGCCAATTTTTATTTAATGTGATATTGAAAAGCTTCACTAGCTTGTGGTCTTTAGCCCTTTGAAACCTTGGATCTCAAAGAAACATCTTTTCCTCCAGCTCTAAGCAAACAACACTCCTGTCTTCTGAGCTTCTCTTGCCTTGGACATCGTACCAGAGAAGATGCTAGAAAACCAAGCACAGTCTGTGCCCCTGTAATGCTGACAATTTTGTTGGGGTAAGAAGGCCACAGGTGAATCGAAGAACCGCAGTTACAGACAAAAACCAAAGATTTGCATTCTTACAAGGTGGTATTTAATTAATCGAGTAGCTTAAGGGATGGTGGGATAGGCGTAGGAGTTTCACAGAAAGAGGGAGTTTGTCTCAGATGGGCATTTAGAAAGGCTCCACAGAGGAGGTGGTCCATGAGCCAGGCCTGGTGAAAGGAGAGGATCAGGGAAGGTGGGGAGGGAGGAAAACATTCTAGCCAGAGAGCAATGGTGTGACCCAAATCTTAGAAAACTAAGCCAGTCAAGAGGCACAGGACAGACAGTCTGTGCAAAAGAATGGAAAAACTTGGGAAAGATCTTACCACCCTTTCTTCAATTCCCTCTCCAGGTTGCCCTTGTAATCATGTTAATTTCCCACTTTAATTTAATTAAATTCTAGAGAAGGTTTTTTTTTTCTATTAGAAAGTACAAAGACAACATTTAACAAGGATCTCCAGAGATTGCTAAAGATCTGATTTTTGAAGTCTATACCAAATCCACAATGCTAGTTATCATTAATGAACTATAAATAATTTATTTTCATTTCTTGACATAAATGTCTATTTTAGAACCAGGAGAAGAGTTGTACAACATTTGCTTTTCAAGTCCATGTACAGCATTCACTTTAAAAGAAGTTTTTCTTGGCTGTTTGTGGCTAGAAACAAAGTAATTTACTATTACCGCTCTTGGCCGGCAGTGTCCCAAAGCTGAAGGTGCACTTTAAAGGCTTTCCCTGATGATCCATTTGGTCCCTGGGTATTATAAACCTAAAAGATACAATTTTCATCAGTTAATATTACTTTGGATTTTGTAAACATTCAAATTCTCTGGGTTCACTCAGCATGTTTTTTCTCAATTACTATAATCAAAGTTCATAGTGCAGAATAAATATTTGCTCTGTTTTTTCCAGAAGTATCACATATACTCTCACTTTTAAATGTCAAGTACAAGTATGATTTTCAACACAATTTAGGCATACTGCGAACTTAAATTAGACACCTTCTGTCATTTCCTCACGGAGGCAGCAAACATTAGATTTAGGACCCAAGTTCTAGGTTCGAATATCAACCCTTCATTTCACTTCTTTGAATCTCATTTTCTTACAGCAAACTGAGACCCACAATCTCTTCCTACTTTACAGAGTTACTGCAAAAATAAATGACATAACAGATGTGAACGTACTTTTAAAATGTTAAAATGCTTTACTAATACCGGAATATCTTTTGCTATGACTTGGACTTCCAAAGTGACCTACCCATGAAATATACACAGAATTTCTCAATAAGTTTACAAAAGATATTTCAAGTCTTCCTTTACTAGCCATTTTTTCCAAAGGCTCTTTTTCTTAATGTTTAAATTTTCAAAATTATGGCCTTCTGACTTCTTATTTAAGCAAAGCCTAACGACTTTAATACTTCATCGGCTCCCCTAAGTATGGTTTAGTAGAGATGTTTAAAGTGTGGTTTAGCTTAAGCATGGTTTAGTAAAAATGTTTAAAGGGAACACTTTGCAAGGACTTATCTTCCTAGGTCAGTGGAGGCATTTGGGAGGGGTGAAGTCACAGGAAAACCCTGGAGGGGTTGGAAGCCAGGTTGCTAAGACTACACTAAAATGTATGGACCTTCAGATAAGGTACAGGATGTATACGGAACCATGATCTAACTTCTCAACCACGATTTCCTTTTCTCCCCCCACCAAGCCTCAAGCAAAGAGTAGATTTGTGACATCAAATGGAAGCGTCAGCCATGTTGGCAATCAAGAATACCTTGGGTGGCAGTAAATCTGGCTCAGCTTATGTGTCTATGCTACACGTCTCACATGTCACAATATCCTTATTCCTGTCATTAGCGTCTAGCATAGGAGAAGAAAGCAGTTGTAATCCTCACTTAAACTCCCTTATCTTGGAAAATAGCATGGACTGGTCTCACATTCTGTTCATAATAAGCTAGTGATTGATAGTTGAGTCTACACATAAATAAAAATGCAGCAAGGACTTACAAAGCTCATGTTCCAGCTATTTGCCAATCATTCTTTTAACTTCTCTCTGAAGAGTTGAGAAATGAACACTAGTTCTTATTGAGAAACTTAACTCAGATCAAGAGTTAAGGGCTTTGCAACCCGGATCATTCAAGTTTTGAAAGATTCCTAGAGAATTCATAGAAAACACACTATATAAACCCGTGAATTATTTCTTTGTCCTATATGCTTTTGGAGACAGGTGATAGTGCCACTCCACATTTTTCTTAGCAAAATGTTATTTATAATTGAGAACATTAAGAATATTCTAAATTGAATCAAAGTGACAGGTTATGAATTTCCTGTGAGAAAAGGCAGACACCTTGCAATGCAATAAACATAGCTTCTTAATTCTCTTTTATATGGGGGGGTAGAAATAAGCAACAAGGTTAACATAACAGTATGGTTAAAAACTCACCACACGTTTTTCCCGAAAGTCTATTCCTACTGTCGTGATAAACTTGGGATTGAATTTATTGTCTGTGTATCGATAAAGAAATGTCGTCTTCCCCACCCCTGAATCTCCAAGGGCCAGGAGTTTGATCAGATAATCATAGTCCCCATCGGTCATAGTGATAGTCTTGGTGAGCCTGTGTAGGAGAGGAAAAACAGTAGGTTATGATAAAAATCGGTTTCCCTTTGCCTTCCTTTAAAACACAACATAAATGTACGTTTCAAGGTTAAAATAGTTGAATACTTCTCTTCTGTCAAATTCTGAATTAACTTATTCAGAGCAGCTTCAGGAGTAAGGGCACCTCTATTATTTCACTCAGTACAAATCTTTTTACATCACGTCAGTTAATATGGAACAGAAAGCTATCTGGTTCCCACAATAGCCGTTGCCGCAGTAGTAGTAGAACTTAGCCACAGCTTTTAGTTTTAAAGCCAATGCCCTTTGCAGCCAGGAGGATGGTGCCAGGAAGAGAAGGAGGTCACAGGAAACAGAAAAGCCTGCCCAAGTTGATGCAGGTAGACTAGGGAGAGACTGAGATTACATATGGGTAGTGGAAGAGAAAAGCCTAGGGAAACATTTTGCATCTAATCATGCATAATGAGCTTCCTATTATGTGCATGCAAAATATTCCTTTTTAATTTAAAAAATTTAACAACTGAGATGACAACCTTTAAAAACATTGATTTGAAATCATTTCAAAAGCAGTGTCTAAAAATCTTCTGTTTTGAAATACCAAAGCCTCTGTTCTCCAATGGCAAATCTGCTGTATTTGGCAAACCTGCCGAATATTTTCCAGACCTTGAAAACGGAGAAAAGCTAAGTAAGAGGCATGACTATGGTAATTTTGCTAGTATTTCTCCTGCTTGAAAGAATGCCATTTGCCATTTTTCCCATTGTCCTGACCTCCTTTGCCTCGGTCTTAGTTTCTTCTGTTGTTATAATGACTATGGGTGAGGCCATGGGCTAATGCCAAGAACACCTGCACTGGTGATACCTTTGAATTACACTATCACCTACTGAATACATGAGGTTTCCACTCCAGAGGTCAGCGAAATGATTTGCCATTGGATAAAACTTTCTGATTCATGAGTTGTAGAAACAGGTTTATGATAGCCCCACATACAGGAAGGCCTATAAAGAAGTTCCTAGAGAAGTATCTCTCCTATTATATGAACGGGCAGAATATTTTCCCACCTTTACAGATCCAGAAAACATCGTACTCTTCAGTTCTGGGGCAATTAAAATTAAATTTCAACAAGTTATCCCATAGACATATCTAAAAATTTCTAGATAATTCTAATCATTTTCTATCTGTAAGAAAATGATGCACATGTTCATCGCTTCAAATAAAACTTTATTTTATACATAGTCACTTTAGTTAGTTATCAAAACTAAAAGGTTTCATGTCTTTGGATAATGATGAAGATGATAATTAGGTACTTAGCAAATCAGTATCATTACATCATTTGGAAGATTGGCAAATTTTTTACATTAGAAGTTTCTAAAATTTGAACCATCCTGCTGCTAAATCCTGTTAAATATATTATGGATATATGTTTCTTTAATTAATGAAGTGTTTTTGCGTTAAAGCATTCTGAAAGCTGCCAATACATACTTCTATGCTTAAGCTCTCCTCCCTTACAATATGCTTTCTTCACTGAGTAGGACTCTCACCGTGAATGTTTGCTGACAATGAATGTTCTCTCTTTTATTGTTGTTGCTTTCGTTTAGTATCTATACAAAGTATAATCATTGCTCAGGAAGAAGTGCTTAGCTTCCATCAACAACCAGCCTTCCTCAATAAAAGGATGCAGGTATCTCAAGTATTGACCTGAAATTCTTCTTGGAAAATGTCTTCATTGACTGACTACCTAGCAGTGACTAGTTCTGGGTTCAGATGTTCTAAATATCTTACCAGGACTTTATATAGTTGAAGATGTTGCTGTTCCTAGTCTTTGAAACAAATGGATTGCTAGAGGAGACTGCTGTCAAAGTAGTATAATTTCCCCCCATTTGGGTCTATCTGGGCCACCATTACTTGACTTTTTTCTCTCTTTGCCTCCCAAACTTGTTCCTGGGCAACTCCTCTGAAGGGTGACAAAGTCTGTCATTTCACTAGTAGAAGTGGATGAAACTGCTAATTCTCTTGGGAAAGAAGGATTAAATTTATTCTGAGATGTGTGACCAAAGCTAAATTCTTCCTGTTGCGGGGGAGGAAATTAAAGGTACTGACTACCTAAATACAAGACAAAGTTGGAGGATACTGTGGCCCCCTGGCCTGGAAAAATGAAAATAATAGAGTCAAGAAGATATAGCAGCACACTTTCAGTTTTTGCTTAAAGTTAACTACGTTTTTTGCAATATTGTTTTGTGACAGAGTTAAGAAAAGCTAAATCTTGAGCAAATCTAGTTAAATACCTTCAATATATAGTATCAGGTCCAAAAAAATGAAAATTTTAAAAATGTAATTTATAATCTAGTACCTGATAAGGCATGCTTACACTTAAAGATGTAAAAAAAAAAAAAAAATACAACATAGTTTTACAAGATGGGGAACATGATTAATTGACAGATGAGTCAAATAGTTGTGCTTTTAGTTCAAACAAAACAGGAACCTTCATGGGCTGCAGTGGTCTGAGACTTTGTAGAGAAAGATGAACTTGTATTTAATCTTATAACAAAGGGAGGAATTACCTATGTGGAAAGAAGGTATAGGACCACTTCCCACTTGTAGAATGAGATGATCACCACTTGCCAGCTACACGACCTACCAAGTATTCCTGATCTGCGATTTGTTTTCTGTTGTTGGTACATAAACTTGCCGGGGGCAATACTGACTTGCCTCCCAGTCAGGCTCTAATCCCGGCTCTTTTCTGTAAGTGAATGGTTGTGGATACTTTGTGGCATTGAACAAAAATTCCACCTGAAATGAATGCAAAGCTTGGCACCATAGAAAACCTTTATTTAGTGTCTCCAGTAGACTCGTTAAAGAAATTGACAAAGTAAACTCAGCATGAGATCGTTTGCCTTTTAAGTTTCTTTTGAAAATGAATTTTCTCATTTTTGTATCACTACTCATATATAGTTACTTAGTTTGGTTCCGCTTTTATTACCATGTGATTTTCTGAGTCCTAAAATCATATGACCTCAATATTCTATCCTTGGCCCGGCAAATATGACAGCGCAAAGAAAAATAAAAACCTTGGCAAAGTTCCCTTTTCCAAGAACTGAGATAAAAAAAATTATCTGGGAAGGATCAAAAAGCTGACAAGTTTAGCAGTATTTATTCCCGCACAATGATTGATGGTCTTGTCAACTCTTCCTTCTATGGATCTAAAAGTAAAGAAAAAGCCAGAAGATTGCTGTACTTCAGGAAATATGTCTGACTCTTTCCCATTATCACTGTGTCACAAGCTAAACTACAAGAGCCAGGAGGTCTTTTAGATATAGAAACTGAGGGATCAGCCTCCGAGCCCTTCATGGGAAGGTAAGGGGCTGGGAAGAGTAGGAAAAAGAATCCAAAACACTTGTGAGGCTCTACTTAATGAAGAGTCTTAAACGTAGAAGGAAATCTAAATAACCCTGTGGTCTAATCCTCAGTTTACAGATGAGAAGTCATGAGCACAGAAGTTATGTGATTTGTGGGATGAGAGTTTCTAACAACAACAAAAAAAAATCCAAGACTATGGTTTGTTATAATTTGAAATGAAAAGTGGATTAGATAGGTAGAAAGTAGAAATATTTTCATTCTATGGGGGAAGGGAATTTTCTCTGGTTATGGACAGGGACATGATTTTCATAGTTAGACTATCTCAAATGAGGCTGCCCATAGTTTCTTTCTCTCTTTTTCCCCACTGCTATGCCTCATTCTTGTTCAACATAAATCCTATTTGCTCAGAAACTTAATATCCTTTGTCCACTGCTGGATCCAGAGTCCAATACAGTGGTTGGCATGTATTAGGGGATCAGTACATATGTGTTGAGCGTTGGAGCCATGCAAATGTCACAATTAGTGAAATTAATCTTTGAGCAGTTGGTGGACGTGGAGTCCCTCCAAGTTCAGGACTTACATTCTCCTTCCTTCCTCAATTGTGAAGGGACTATTTAGATTAAATGATCACTGTGGGACCTTCCGGGTCTGGCTTCCCAAGCTCATTTTTCTATTTCTATAAAAACCTTCTCAAAATAGAATACTTGTATCTTCAGAGAAGCAGTTTCAAAGAACCTGGGAAAAGAGAAAGCACAGAGGGACTGTAATTTTTGGACATGAGATCTGTATTGGCAGAGAGCATATAAACTTGTCAGTTGAATAGGTCAGGGCTCAGAACTGGGCTTCTCCATGAAAGCACCCATTCACCCATCTAACACATACTCACTGGCACCTCATAATTTGCATGATATTCTGTATGACTCTGAGGATATACTCTGTTTTCTCTAGAGGGAAGCTTAACAAACATTACAGATATGTATGGATGACTACTATACAGGCGGACTTACCCACACAAATTTAAGACATTCTTTGCTAGTTCTCCAACTAATAATCTTAAAAATGCCATGACAAGCTTTATGACCCTGTGACTTGAACTTATTAAATTAATAAAACCAAGTTAATACTCTTTTTTAAAAATATTTTATTTATGGGATGCCTGGGGGGCTCAGTCGGTTGGGCATCTGCCTTCAGCTCAGGTCATGATCCCAGAGTCCCGGGATCGAGCCCTGCATCGGGCTCCTTGTTCAGCGGGGAGCCTGCTTCTCTCTCTGCCTGCCGCTCCCCCTGCTTGTGCTTTCTCTCTCTCTCTCCCTCTTTCTCTCTCTCAAATAAGTAAATAAAATCTTTAAACAAAAAATCTTTTTAAAAAAAGAATTTATTTAGTTATTTATCTATTTGAGAGAGAGAAAGAGGAGAGAGAATGGAGAGAAAAGAGCATGAGCAGGGAGAGGGGCAAAGAGACAAGCAGACTACCTGCTGAGCACGGAGCCCAACACAGGGCTCGATCCCAGGACCTTGAGATCATAATCTGAGCTGAAGTCAGATGCTTAACTGACTGAGCCACCCAAGGGCCCCAAAACAAACTTAATATTCTTAAGGAACTTTGGAAAGCTTAAAATAATAGACAAAGTATCAGTGATATTACT